ACACATCAAAGTTTTATATCTCCCATCAAGACTGTCAGATTAACCTCCATGTCAACTCTATAAGGTTTTGTCTAAATCATTTTAGCAAATAGAATTAGTTCAGGAAGTTTACCAAAATTTTACTAAAGTCATAGAGTTAGCAAGAGATAGAGGCAGGATTTGAATCCACAGGATCTGATTACAAAAGGCAACTCTGGCACTCACATGACAAACTAGAACACAGAGAAAAATATATCCACGCTTTTAGTTGCAGTTTGACTTCTTCCCTGGTTTTGGTATGTTTGCTTTTGCATTTCTATTGTTCCTTTTCAGAATGCTTCTAAATCCTTAAATTCCAAGAACTGAATCTATCGCTTTGTATATTCTGTATTACTTAGATATTGATTCAGAGTCAATTATTGTCATTTGACCATCAACTTTGATGGAGACATCCAGTGGAGCTTTTCCACATACACTAATCAAATCTGTAAGACACTGAGATACACATATTACTATTTGTACTTTTCAGACTTGGTCACTATTTAAATCATTATAGAGGGTAAAAGACTGAATATGAATATGGGGGTCCTAACATCAAGCTCTGAGTTCTTTCCATTAAAAAACTCATTGCTTAACATCATACTAGATACAGAAAGGACATTTCATTAATGCTTACTAGATGAATGAATAGTTTTAAAAAATAATTCAATGACAATGTAATAAAAGTCACCCAAGCAGAGATCTGTATTATGATAATACAAACTTCTTACAAATCAATCTATTATATGGTTATTATCATGAAGGGAATGCAAAACCATAGAATATTTTGAGAAGGAAATTAAGCAATGGTCCTTGAAAGATTAAATAGTATAGAAGTGCAGGACAGAATAAAACGGGAGCGATTAAATGGACAAAATGACAAAATGGACGGTTAGGAGACAGTTGTAGCTCAACTGTGATGCATTAAAGGAATGCCCTCACTACTGGTCAGAATTTTAAAGTGTATACTTCTCCCCATATAGCACGAATGCTCTGAATTAAAATTGAGACTAGCTATCTGCATATTTGTTTTCTTGTCATTTTAACCTATCACCACTCATGCATCCCCTGTGGAATTTGTAGACATTTTTAATTCCCCACAAGATAAAGTAGGACACGATGGAATAGACCATGTCTTACTAATCTTTGAATCCTTTAAGACAACATTATCCACACTGTGTCCCAATAAAGTTCAGAAATACAGCAGGAAAGTCAGGTGTGGTGGCTCATGCCTATAATCCCAGCACTTTGGGAGGCCAAAGCAGGTAGATTGCTTGAGTCCAGGAGTTTGAGACCATCCTAGACAAGATGGCAAAACCCTATCTCTACAAAAAAAAAAAAAAAAACAGAAAAATTAGCCAGGCATAGTGGTGCACACCTGTAGTTCCAGCTACTCAGGAGGCTGAGGTGGGAGAATCACCAGAGGTTAGAGAGGTTAAGGCTACAGTGAGCTGTGACTGCTCCACTGAACTTGAGCCTGGATGACAAAGTCAGACTCTCAGGTTCTCCAAAAAAGAAAGAAAGAAAACAACAAAAACAACAACAAAAAAGGAAATACTGTGGGAGGAAAAAGCATGTGTCTGGTATAGAATTTTTCAAAACTTTACTTTCCTAACATATCTTATGAATTTCGAAGAGGGAATATGATTTGCAGGTTTCCCCAAATTTTTAGGACCACAGTTTCCTATCCATACTCCTTCATGGGGGTGCTTATTCCCTAGGGATCAATTTCCCTGAGTACAGAAGACATAATATTGTTCAAAAGATTTCTCATAGTGCTACAATTGAAGGTGTCTTCTAAATGTTCATCAATGAAAGAATGCCTCTGTAAAAGTAATCACAATTTATGCTTTAATTATGTTGTTTTACAATCTCTCTGGAATTTCAGTATTGTCACTTATATTGTGATGTGTTTATACAACTTAATTGCCTCTACATTTGTTGACCCATGTCAACAAGGAGCACACAGCACATTGTCTCATATTGGATAGTATGTCTCTAAGCTTAGGTTCAGTTACTTTGTAGAAGCCAACATCCACAGGGTCTCAGCGGCTAAGATAACAAAGCCTTATTTCTTGCTTATGTCACTGGTCCTGTGCAGGTGGTCCATGGCTCTGGTCCACATTATCTCCATTCTGGGATCCAGCCTAAGGGAGCATATCTGAAACATGCCAGTCTCTTGACGAAAGGTAAAGAGAACATGGTGAACCCTCACAATGTGTTTTAAAGCTCATGCTCTGATGTGTAAGACATCACTTTCACTCATACTTCTTTGGACTAAGCAAGACACACAGCTAGACCCCTGTCACAGGAAGAGGGCAGCAAATAGTTTAACATAAAAAGATCCATCTACTATGCTAAGTTTTTATCTTCTACTAAAGCCCAGGTCTTCTGGGGAGGTAACAGAGTAAATTTTCAAATCGTCCTGGCTTAGACATTTAGCAAGCACAGTAAAGAATGCAATTATTACAGTTTTATTTTTTAATCCCATATTCTAATAGACACTCAAGCTTTCAGATTTACACTAGTATGAATTTCCTTTTAACGGGCTCTGTGTTTCTGCTTCTGGAACAAGAAAAGTCTCTCTCTTCTTCCCTCCTCTAAAGATACAGTAAATTTAGAGAATGATATATTACGCTTTTAAGTAGTGGTAAATACCCCCATTCTAATCAATTCCCTGATTGCAACACAATTGATGCTGATTAAAGATACAACAAACTAAAAATATTATTTGTCTGAGTAAAAGTATTTTAATCATGAACCTTAAATCGAACTGTTTATAATGTATGTCTGTTTACTCTGCAACAAAATGAGGATTATATATTCCATAAAAAGTCAGATAAACTGCGTTGAAAGTTTTATTTTATCACAACCATAAACTCTGTTCATATATTTACATATTGCTTGGGAATCACGAATCATCTGCTCACAACCTAGAATAATAATGATCATGGTGGTTGATAAAGTTTTTCAGCTGTACCTTGAATACACCATGACTCCACTGATGATCATAAACCTCCACCATTTTGTTCCATTTAATAAAAGTTACATTTTATCGACTAACATAAACTATTTCTTGTTTAGTAAATGTCTTAATTTATAAGGTCAATAGAATATATAAAAACAAATGAAAAAAACATGTAAACTCAAGTTTGTCATCATCATATAGATTCTTATTTTGTGTAATTAATAAAAGTTCTCCTTTAACCAGACCCCCCTAAAATTGTGTCATATAATCTGTAGTTTATGTACTAGGAGATGAGTTTTCAAACTCAAAATGAAGTGAGCTATAATTTGTAATTAAACATATATAGAGCACCTATTCATAAATTATTTTCTTAGTGTATAGAGCAAAGCAAATATAAGGGTATCCACAGAGCAATAAAACTCCCATCTAGTTAGCTTATGGTGTGTTTTCTCGAAAGGAAGGAAAAGCAACATAATTGGAACTATTATACCAAGGACTGAACATGACCATAATACACACTAGGAATGTAGTATGCACATGTCTATTATCCAAAATGTCTCCAGCTGTTCCAGCAAAAGTTTGAGGGAAATAGGCAATTATATAGATTCTGGGAGTCAGAATTTTTAGAAAGGAAAAAATTTAGATATTATCTGGGACCATTATGTTATCAAATAATAGAGATATCACCTCTCTTCATTTTATGTGACTGGCACATGTGAATGATACATAGAATACAATGAAAATGGTGCCCCCTGCAGCATGAAATCAGCAATATCACATCCACCTCTCATTTAATAAATTTGGAAACTAAGACCCACAGAGAGGAATCCTCTGCCCCGACCGCTCTGGAAGCCTACCTTTGACATAGGAAGGGTAAGTCCATGAAAATTTGGTGTTGACAAGTCCTCCATGCCATCTGAAATTCTGCAAGTATGATCTTGCATCTGTGTTGAAGGCTTGCTCATTTAGAATTGAATTGCTTTTTCCCATTATTTATTTATTCAGTATTCTAGAAACAAAGAAGAAAGCAAGTTTTGGTAGAGGAAATAAGTAGGATCTCCCAGGACTCAGTATCAGGAACAAGAGGTAAATTGCATCTGTGTAAGGCAGTAGTGGGAGGAGTCTAAACAGGAATGCGATGATACCCAAAGCAAATTAAACTTGTGCAGCACAGGCTATATTCATGCCTACTGCTAATCTCTCTTCCCTACTCTGCTGTTTGGATTTTTTATATTTTCTCCTAAAACTGAAATATTTGGTTTCTTCTTATGGTGTATGAAGAAGCATACAATGTGTATGAAATACCTACTCTGAGGCAAATTTTAGTCTGTTCTAATATAACTTTATTATTTAGTTGCATTGTACGGACACAAACTAATGTGGTACCAATCTAACAAAGAATGTGGACACATTTAATGCAAACAACACCAGAATCCATATGATCAAAAAAAAAAACAGGATTTAAGAAAAATAGGAGTGGATAAGAAAGACAAAATAACACTAATTTAAGTTAACACTATGAGCTAGACATTTTATTGACCTTCTTGGCTTTTGTTGTTGTTATTCTTAATAAAAAAAAAAACTGTCAATTTTTAGCTATGTACAAGGCACAGGACTATAAAACACATTTATCAGCTTCCTTTGAAACTAAGGTGTGGATGTGTGACTGAGTTCTGGTGTGTAAAATAGAAGTGGAAATGTTGTGTTACCACTCCTTAAAGATGCCCTAAAAAGAATGATAGTGTGTGCTGTTTGCACCTTTCTTCATTACCGTTTTTCCATACCGTTTTTCCAGATGTATTGGTTGAAGCCTGACAATGTGTCAGAGCAGTGAATTGAAACTGACCTGAGTCTCTGACATCTTCGCGGAGCCACATAGCAACCCTGGATCTCCTATTTCAGAACATTTTCCATGTAGTAAAAATAAACTTTTATCTCATTTAAGCTACATCATTGGAGGTTTTTGTTATCTGAAACTAAGCATAATCCTAACCGATATTCTCTTAATTTACAGATGCAAAACCTGGGAACAAAATAAGATACCTATTCAATCGCAAAGTGGTAAGAAGACTATTTATACAAAACCTATTTATGACTGCAAAATCTGTATTATTTTCCAGAGAATACACAACTTCTGGTTAGCATAAGAGTGATTAGAAATAGAATATAGGCCAAAGGCAATTGAAAAAAGGGGCCAGATTACAGTGTTTGAGGTCTGAAGTAATCACTCAAATCTTACTCTCTCAACATGGACCACAGCAAAATTTTTGCTAATCAGTAGTTACAGGTAATAAATGAGTAATGAGCAAAGTCAAGACTGATTCTTGGATTTTTATCCTCGATTGGCTAAGTAAATGGTGGTGGTGCTGTTTATACAGTTGGTAACTGATACAAAACCAACCCAATATTCAAGGTTCAGTTCTTGAGCCCTGTCAGCGTCCTTTGCTATGATACCTTCTCCACTTGGTGCTCTACCCGCCTATGGCTGAGCTGGTATCTAAGGTGCAAGACAAAGTCCTCTTTACATTTACCTCCAGTTTCCTCAAGCAGATGTAGTCTCTCCCAATAGCCACTATGGCTGGGGATGTGCTGAGTCTCATTTAAAGGCAGCAAGTGCCAGACTCATACCCAAGGACCATGGCATACTACCTGAGTATTGCTGCTGGTTATTCAGGGTCTAAAGCCTCTTTAGTCAGCAAGTAATGTCTCCTGCCAGGAGGAGGTTTTTCCCTTTGAGACAGTGAGTTCCCTTCTGGCTCACGGTGTGTTTATAAATATTATCCAGAAGCTAGGACCTAGAAAGGGAGCTTCATGACTCTGACTAGTGCCCTATCCTACTGTGGCAGAGCCGGTATTCAGGATGTGAGACAAAGTCCTCTTTACTTTACCCTCTCCTCTCCTCAGGTGGAAGCAAGGAAGCTTCTTTGGACCCATGAGCTATGCAGCCTGGGGTTGGGAGAGCAGTGGCATGAGCACTCCCTTAGCTGCCCCATCTGTTGTCTCTGTAGGTCACCACCCCACTGCCAAGTCCACAGACTCTGAGCCCAGTTCAGCAATAAGGCTCACCTAGGTGTTGCAATCCTTGTGACCTAAATTGCCTTTCAAGTTTATTTAGGGTGTCAGAGCCCTTTAGCCCAGAGTGGTGAGGCTTTCTGGAACTCAAATAGTGACCTGGGTGCTCTGAGTTGCCCACTGGATTGGGCAATTCCTCTCTGGCTATGGCTGGTTTAAATGCTCCCTTCATGGGTAGGTGTCAGCTGAGTTCACCCTGGTTTTGCTTTCTGCCATGACCGGGTAGCGCTAAGTTCAATATAATGTCTTACAATTGCTGCACTCTCCCCATCCCAAATGCACGACTTTCTCGACACCACACAGCCACTGCCAGAATGTTGGGGAAGGGTGGTGTCAGCGATTCAAGACTGCCTTTTCTACCCTCACTCTTTTATGCTTTTCTCAGTGATATAAAGTCAAAAACAGGTATTGTGAGTGCTCACCTGATTTTCAGTTCTTATGAAGGTTCCTTTTTGTGTAGGTAGTGGTTAAATTGGTGTCCTTGTAGGGGAGATGGTTGGTTGAGCCTTCTATTTTGGCAATCTTGCTACAACTACCATAATTTTGAAGAAATAAACATAAATAATATTTAAAGATTGGAACTAGTGAATATGAAAATATCTGTTATTCCTATTGGTGGCAAAGTCATAGTTATTGCTAAAGCTACTGTGGTTTATTGGCTACACATATATTTAAATGAAATGTTAAATTTTAATTACAAGTTAGAGAAAATAAAGTATAATTTTTTTCCCTTCCAAGTACATGGAACAAGTAAGATACCCTGCTCTATAAATGGAAGATGCTGACTTCAGTGAGCATCTTCTGATAGGAGCAGAAGACTTTGCCTGAGTCCAGGTTGCACAAAACCCATCACCCTTCACCTCTTTCTTCTTCTCCATTCTCATTCCATGTAAGGTAGGCTTCATCTTCTGGTTCTAGGGGAAGAGTATTTAACCCAAAATGACCAATAAAACTACCTGTGCCTCCTAAGAGCTTCCTCACTCTTTCCCATAGGATTTGATTATTAAAATTATCGCTGTTACTTTGTGATGTAGATGAATTAATCTTTTTAAAGATTAGAGTCAATATTAAGAACAACACAACCAAAGGACAGAAAGGAACTTGGTCCAGAGGAAATAATACAGTCTTTGATCAAGCCTCTCCTGACAACAACTATCTCTGGGATTTATATTACATCTCCTTTTTTTAAAAGCTGCTGGGTTTGCTTTTCTAGCACTTGCAAATGACATATAAATGTAGTGTGGATGTTTCAGGAAGATATTCTAGTGGAAGTGATATTTTAGTTGAAGTCCAAGGATAGATTGGAATTAACTATTTGGAATAAAAGCAGAGAGGTAACTTTCCAAGCAGAAAAAATAACAGGTACCCAGGAAATATGGCTGAGGAGAATGTGGTGTGTACGAAAGAAAGAAACTGATAAAATGTCAGGGCGATTAGCGCACAAAGAACTAGGGACAGAACATAGTAAGGTGAGGATGGAAAGGACTGTGCACAGCTGTGGAGTCAGATGTAAGGGCTTTGGTCATTACTGTTAGAGAAACTAGATATCATGAAAGTGATTGAAGCAAGAGAATGACATGATAAACTAAGTATTTGAGATTACACTATTCATAATATATAGATCCAATGACAAGTACAGGATAACCAGTTAAAAAGCCATCATAAAACTTGTTTTTAAAATGGTGAAAAAGTGAGGCAGGAGTCACAGAGGAGACATCATGACAGGAGAAGATATCAGAGTGATGCGGAGCCAAAAGCCAAGGAATAGGGGTGGCTTCTAGAAGCTGGGAAAGGTAGGAAAATGAAATCTCCACTAGATTCTCAAGTAGAAACTCAGTTTTCTAAATAATTTGACTTCAGCCCCATAAGACCCATTTCAGACTTCTGACTTCCAGAACTGTATGACAATAAATTTGTATTCTTTTGGCTAAGAAAACAAACCCAGCAATTGCAGTGGTCCATGAGAAGGTGATGTGAGCTTGTTTGGGCCAGTATGCAACACTGTCACAGCAGTAGAAATAGGGAAAAATAGAAATAAATTGAGAAATGTTTGGGATCTGAAATGGATAGGTCTTGATGATACCAAATCTGACCTCTAAATGTTGGACTGCACCAGAGATTCATTTTAGGCCTTCTTCTTTTGTCCACCCTTCCCCTAGAACATCTCATCTCATTCCAAATATGGCCTCCAGCCCTGACCTCTTCTTCAAACTCTGATTTACACTCATTCTATTTCATAGTCTCAAAGGTATGCCCAATCTATCCATCACCACCACCACCCCACTTTTGTCACCATCACCACTGACACCTTTCCCACATCAGTAAGTGACACCACCCTTCTATCTAATTGTCCAAGCCTAGGGGTCATCTTGATTTCTCTTTTTTCCTCATTCCCCACAATGAGCAATTTCCCACTTATTGTTTTTTTTTTATCTTCAAAATACTTCTTTAATCTGTTTATTTTCTCACCTCAACTACAAATACCCAAGTCCAAACCACCATCATCTCTCACCTGAGTTAATTCAAAAAATGCTTAAATGGAGTACTTGCCTCTGTACCTTCCAGTCCATTTTAAAAATAGGGTCGGAGTGATAGTTAAAAATATAAGCCCTACCATGTTTTTCTGCATATCACGGGAGCCATGTTATCGCCCTTCATTTGCTTCCCTTTACATTTCCTTCTCTGCTTTCTCTTTTCCCCTTAGGCACAATGTTCCAGCCATGTTGGTCTTCTGGACACCAAATCTTCTTCTTGCTCTCAGACCATTGTGCTTGCTGTTTGCTCTCCCTGAAATTATCTTCACTCCTAGCTCACACCTTCCCTGTTCACCATCACCTCCCTGAGGAAGTGTTCCCTAACTATGACATCTAAATTTGGCTTCTTCTATTCCATCCAGTGTCTCCCTATGGCGTGTTTGGTTTCCTTCTGAACATTTTTCAAAATATGTATCTACTGGCTTGTTATCATCTCCTTCCTTTCACTACATATGCTGCATGATGACAAGAAAGTCATTGTTTATACCAGCATGCCCCAGGCACTTTAGAAAATGGTGGTGCTTAAGAGGTGCTCAATAAACACTTGATGAATGAAAAATGAAGGAATGGATTAGCTGTGATGTGTGAAGAGAAAAGAACTTTCAAAAATCATCCCTCAGTTTCTGGTTTGTTTCTTGACAGATGGCTATGCCAATTACTGAGAGAGGGGATTCTAAAAGAAGACCAGTCTTAGGGGAAAGAGCATGAATTTTAAACAGTGGACTTGGATATGCCTTTGAGACTTCCATGTGAAGATATAAAATGGCAACTGATTTTATGGGTTTAGAATGTAGAAAACAGAATTGTGTTAGACACAGAAATATAAGTAATATAATTGGCATACAATCAGGAACTGGATATACGGGCATAAAGGTAGGCTTGGGCATGGCCTGATAATACTTTCCTGTGGTTCTCCAGGATGAAAGTATTTCATCTGCATGTCTCTCTCAAAATATTGTCTGCACAGTTTCTATTTTCTGAAAGCATCCTGGATCATGCATTGCCTTAAGTCTACTCAATTTCAATCAAATATCAAAAGTATTCTTGAAATAATGTCTGTGTATGATATTTTACTCACCAAATTACACTCATAGATAAACCAGTACCCATTTCCTCTTAACATTTAGTATTTCTTTTTTCATTTCACTTATATTTTCTCATCATGAGTAAGCAAAGACTATACTGGGAGTCCTCCATTGATTTGACAAAGAAATAAATATTTCTTCTTCCTTTGATGACTTGATACAGTCTTCTTTGTCAATCTTATATTCAAATCCAGAGTGTTTTGATGCAATGAAGGGAAAGAAATAAAGCTGTAACAAGAGAGTCGATACACAAAAGATCGCCTACCGCTGCTTTCTAATTATTTTTGTTTTGTTTGTTTTAAACTATATTGCCTGAGGTTTTGGATGTCACCTGGTCAGGCAAGTAATGTGAGATCAGCCCTCTGGACTT